GCATAGCGGTGCTCAGTCCAGTGTGCATGTCTTTGCCGGTGAGGCAACCTAGTTCCATGATCGGTTCCTTCTTGAAGTGGGCATGGGCAGCCATGTGCTTGTGGTCCAAAATGCCATTTGTCATCAGTTTAAGGGGCTTGATTTCGGCCAGCTTTTCATTCATCATCGCCTGCCGTTTCATGGCCTCCTCCTTTTCGCGCATCACATCCTTCTTCTTGAAACGGCGACGCCGTCGCAAAAACGAACCATTGTCAAACATGTTGTACGAATCGGGATCGAGCGTCCAATACGAGCCCTTACCGGGCTTCTTATCGTCGCGCGCCACCTTCACGAAGCACTCATTTAAGCTGAGGTTGTGTCGTATCGAATTTTGCCAGCCCTGTTTGTTGTCGCGATAGTAGGGAAAGCGCTCCATTATGTACTGGTAAATGCCATTCAAGGTGATCTTTTTGTCGGCGGAATTCTGAATGGCCATGGCAATGAGCGCGATGTAGGAGTAGGGCGGCTTGACGATCTCCTTATTTTGGTGGGGTGCGCCCAAACCGTAAGCGCTCGCCGGGTAGGAGTAGCGCGAATACTGATCGTACGCGTAATGGGCAGCGGCGGCCGCCGAGGCAGTTGTCATAGCGCCGGCAGTTGCGGCGCTGGGGTAGCCGGCGGTCTGCGCGTAATGGCGCGAGAAGGAGTTCTGATCGCTGAAGAGCGTATGCATTGCGGTGGCCGGCTTGTTTGTTCAATAATTGAGGTGAGGAGTCTCAAGCGAAATTTGATGAGTTTGGCTATCGGCCAGCGTCCCCTTTTGTTGAAAGTAAAAATTCACTCAACTCGAAGCAAATTTGCTATGGTTTATTATTAGCAGTTTGGTTTATAAAAATAAAATTTCAAAATATTTGCTTAAGTTTTTTGTTCTTTTTTTTTGCGAATGTTACACGCACAATTTAGCTTGCTGTTTTTGTTTAATTTTGCCGCATCGGCATGTCGCGCGCGTATTTGTTTGCGCTAAACGCAAGTCCTATTCGCTAAATTCTTTATTTGCTTAGCAAATATTTACTTAATTTCACTTGTTTGTATTTTTTAAGTAAACTCCGGTGCTAAAGA